GAGAGAGAGAGAGAGGAGCGACAGTGAGGAAGGGAGGAGGGAGAAGATGAAGAGTGGAGGGAGATGGAGGGAGGAAGATGGAGGGAAAGAGAGAGACAGTGAGAGGAATGGAGAGTGATAGATAGAGTGGTAGAGAGCAAGATAGAGGCCAGATGGGGGAAACGACTGAGTGAGAAGGGAAAAGGTTCAGGTGAGCGGAGAGGGATAGGAGAGAAGCATGGAGCCTAGGAGAAGATATTGCAGAAATAGGAAAGGGACTTGTTGAAAGGATACCAGGTTGGACCATGTTGACTCCATGAAGTGTGACTCATTCTGAATTGTCAATGGCTCGCACTGTGGGAGGTCGTTCGATGTTTGACTTTGGTCCCAGCAACCATGACGAGAGAGTGAACGGAGTGGTCAAGAGCGCTTGAATTCTTGTATACAAGAGCTGGAAGGAGAATTTTTTTGGGATGAGGATAAGCGTTTTTCTTAAGGTTGCTTTGCTTGCACTGGTCTCTCCTTCCGTGGATGCGTTCGTAAGCACCTTCATCGCTCGCCGGGCGCTGTTGCCGTCCGCATGCCGAGCAAGATGCCACGCGCGGCGACTGAGTGTGTCGTCCTCCTTCGATCAGGGCGATAGCAAGAGCGGGGATGACTTGAAAGACGTCTTCTCTCACCCCAGCGCTGATCGACCGCACAAGGCACGGGAGGTGCTATCGAGGGACGCGGATGTCGGAGCGGACCTGTCTGACATGACCTCAGCGATCGAGCGTGCTCTGAAGCATGCAGACTTGGTGCTGCAGGAGACCTCTCATGCCGAGTGGATGCTGAGGGAGGCAGAGCAATCGAAGCAGAAGCAGTTCTTCCTGCAGGAGAAAGAAGCAGCCATGAAGCGGCTGCAAGGGGAAGGCAGCGACTACCCATCGTTCAACCCGTACATCCAGATGATGCAAGAGTGTGCCGCGAGCGCTTCCAAGGGCCTCGCAGGACGAGTGGAAGCCTTCCAGACGCTCAAGGACATGGAAGGCCTGGGGATCATTCCCAACCTCTCAACCTACAACGCGCTGATGAACGTGCTGGCAAAGGCTGCTGCGAGGGGGAAAGCGACCGTGAAGGATGGGCAGGAGGTGCTGAAGATGATCAAGACGCGAGGGTTCACCCCCAGTACCATCACCTACACCACGTTCCTGTCTCTGATGGCCAAGTCGGCAAGCTACGGCCACACGGTGCCTCTCGAAGATGGTTTGAACATCCTTGAGAAGATGAAGGAGCAGGAGCTCGGGATCGACGCGTTCGTGTTTGCCGCGTTGCTGTCACTGTGCACATATGCGCCCATCAAGGAGGGAGAGAGCAGGATTGAGAAGGGCAAGCAGATACTGGCGTTGATGAGGGAGATGGGGGTTAAGGAGGACATTGTGGTTTACAACGGTTTCCTCGCCATCTGCGCCAAGTGCAACGACGCGAAACTTGAGGACGGGATGGAGGTGCTTGAGAGCATGAGGGAGAACAAGATCAACCCAGACACCTACACGTTCGCCACTCTGTTCGACCTCTGCGCCAACATTATGCCAAGGAGGCGGGTGACCATGTCCGATGTACAGAAGATTGTGCAGCAGATGCAGTCCAACAGGGTGCCTCCTAGCACCACGTTGTACAACTCAATCCTCAAGGTGAGGAGCCGGAGGGGCCGACGGACTTGACTGACTGTGATGGGTCAGGTGTACGTCAAGGCAGCGAGAAGGAAGTGGATTAGCTCTCGTGAGACAGAGGATGTGATCAAGACGATGGAAAAGTTGGGTCTGAAGTTGGACAGGTAGTGTTGGTGATTGCGATTGCGATTGTGGTGCTGGTGGAGATTGAGATGATGGAGATGATGATGATCACGCCATGAAGATGTTATCCCACTCCACGACTCTATGTGATGATGATGATTGGATGTACCAAGTTGGAATAATTCGTCTGAAATGACTCTGCCGTCAAGGATCACTTATGGGACTTGGCTTGACATTCTTCGATATGCCGCTTTGAATGGGCTTGCAAAGCGAGGCGATGCCAAGAAAGTCATCGACAAGGTACGGGGGGAGGGGAGAAGAGGAGATGGTGGGGGAAGAGGAGGAGAGTGGGGCGAAGGGGAAAGGGAGGAGAAGGGGGAGACTGTGGAGGCAGAAGTTGATGGCTGCTGGAAGATGAGAGAAAGCGGGATGGCTCCGTCGAGCGAGATGTACCATCTTTGGTTGGACGTGATCCTCAAAGAGGCTACGAATGGAGCAGCGACTGTGCGAGACGGCATTGAAGTCGTCAAGTTCATGCAGAAAGTTGGGCAGGTGACTGATGAGTCGTTGATAGGCTGCTGCTTCTGCTGCTGTGCCGCTCACTCCTGCTCCTGCTGCTGCTCCTGCTGCTGCTCTTGTTCCTGCTGCTGCTCCTGGTCGCTCACCAGAGCTCGCAGATCCCTTCCTCTCGCGCATTCAATCGCCTCTTGAGCATCGGGGTGAAGGCAGCGAAGAACGGCAAGGATAGGATCGGTACTACCTGGCACTGCCCCCGTGCTCTCCTTACCCTCTCACCTCAAGATGCCGGGCTGGAGGTGCTGGAGCTGATGAAGACCGAAGAGATCCCCCTCTCGTCAGTCTCTCTTTCAACCTTCATCCAGATGGCAAAGGCTGAAGGCAGCCAGCGGGCCGTGAGCGAGGCCTGGAAGGTGACACTCCACCCCTCTTCTATCCTCTCTCCTGCTCCGTTTTTCCTCTATCCTCTTCGTTCGTTGGCCACCCTTGCAACACCCACCTTGTCCCCCCTCCCTTCCTCCCTCTCCAAGTCCCCCCTCTCTCTGCCTCACTCCGCGTCCCCTCCTCCCTCGCATCCCTCACGCTCACTCGCTTCCCAGCTTTTCATCGCCTCTCCACCGAGCATCAGGAACGAGCAAGTGTACACCGCTATGATGTCCACGTTAGTCAGGGCCAAACAGGTGCTTCCTCCTCTGCTGCCTTTCTCTACCAGTGATTTCCCCCTCCCTCCCTTCAGAGGCACACGGCAAGCTCGCTGCTGGACATGGCGAAGAAGGATGGGCTGAAACCCAACGTCTACATGATCAACTCAGCCATGGGGGCCTGCACCACTCCTGAAGACATCCTCAAGGTCCTTCTCCTCTCCTCCTCTCCCTCCCTCTCCCTTCCATTCTCTGCTCTCGCTTCCTCTCCCTGTGATTCTCTGTCCTCCCTTCCTCTCCCTTCCATTCTCTGCTCCCCTCTCCCCTTTGTCCGCATTCTCCTCTCTCCTCTCTCCTCGTGTCCAACCTGACGCTCTCTAACACCTGGCGCAGCTTTGGGAGGAGATGCAGGCGAGTGGCCTCGAGAAGGATGCCGTCACCAACAAGTACCTCAAGCTCGCGAGCAAGGGAAGAGCTCCCTTCTCTCAGCCGCTCGGTGATCCTCTCCTCCTCGTTTTCGTCCCTCTTGTGCCTCTCCTCGTCCCGTCATCGTCCTCTCCTCCTCCTCCTCGTCCTCTCCCCCCATGTTGTTCCCTCCTACACGCCCTTGTCAAGACCGGGGCTGACGAGGCTGGTTCAGCAGGGAGAAAGTTTGGGGGAAGACCGAAGGTTCAGAATCAGTCAGAGGAATGACGCCACACTCGTTCAGCCCCATCGACTTTTCTCGTTCTCCTGACATGACTCGACCTCTTCTATTCTTCATTCTTTTTCCTCACTAGTTTTGTTGAGATTACCACCAGCTCGAATGGTGACGAAAAAATAAATGTTCCCGGGACCCATGCTTCTTCTTAGCACCACATCGTCCTCGTCCTCCT